ATCGGATCCTGGTAGTAATTTGCGGAGTCTAGACGCTGTTGTTCGGTCCGTTAAGGGCTCGTTTTAGACGCCTCTAGACCCGTTGGCAGGGTGTGGCTGACCGATACTGGCCCTCAGCCAGTCGCATTCCGAGCACCAATAAAGAGAGTTTAGCATATAATACACCTCCGTTGTGGTTATAACATGATTAATGATAACTTTATGGTTACGGTACCATCAGAGAATTGGGTGTAAAGTCAATACATGGCGATTTCATTGAATCTTGGTCTTTCTCAGTCACTCCCAAATTTTTAGTTTAGTGCTCGTGGAATGATTTTGTAGCACTGATGTTTTTGATCCAAGCAAAATGGGGATAGAGACACACTCACCCAGACTAAGCAGAAAATAGTCGTCGTGGAAAATAGTCGTCGTGGAAAATAGTCGCTGAGCAAACCAAATAGAATGATAAAATAATCCCACGCCGACAGTCACCCCAGTAGTAGGGACAAAGCTCTCTACTTGATGAGGTAAGCCTTCAAGGGTAAAGTTTGTGTTCTATTATCTAGCACATGGCGACAGGGGTGTGATGACCGGGAATCAAGCCATTCCTTTCTCTTTTTCTCGTATTGCTTACCTCAGCAGCAATTGAGAGGGGTCGTCCTTCCCAAAACGGTAGGGTCATATAACTCACCGGCAGGGGCTCCCGGCAGCGGCATCGCTCCCGACAACACATATCATCTTGCCTTGCCGGCACAAATAGCTTAAAACGTTACGCACCACTGTGCGTAATATGACCATATGACCACAGGGCTTCTGGAACCCCCCATTGTGGGCCCATCTGCTTAAAAGCCACCCGGATCAATAGAGTAGAATTCGGTCTAGCACGTCCCGCCGCCGGTCTATGTGAAAGGGAGTGTCGGGGGGCTGATCCGCTTACGTCAGACACCAATACCTCCAGTGAGCAAGTCTCGACAACCACTGCTACCGTATTCGGCCGCTTTGAGGCTGATGCACAAGTAGGAGCATGATGCGTAGGTGACGTCGAGTGGCTAGGCTGGGTCTTTTAGTGGAATCCGCCTGAGGCTCGAGGTGGACGGGAGGTTGTCACCCGCCGTATCTTGCTGTGGTGGTGTATGATGGGAGTGATTATATAACTCCGGCATGGGTCACGTGACTGCGACTGGGATAAGTCCGCTCGGACCCACCACCCACCGTCTCTCTCTTTTCAGGTTAGGAGCCGCGGCCGCCGGTATTGCTGCACGGGTGCGAATTCCCTCACTCCCGGCCCTCCCCCCCTCACGGAGATTAAATCAGGGCTAGCACCGTACCACTATGTCTGATCCCGCCGACGACGCCACCAACACAACTCCCAGCGTCACGGACAACGCCGTGGCGACGGATTCGGCACCCGAGCAGGCAGCGGAGACCGCTAAATCGACGGCGGAGGCTTCCGAGGGTGATATTCCGGCTCCGGCGGAAAATGACGCAACCAACGAAGAACCCACGAAGACCACCGCCACCACCGCTAAGGACAAGGCCCCTGATGCTCTGGAGGCAGCTGAACCCAAGAAGTCAGCCTTAGAGACAGAAAGTGCTCCTTCCGCCGCGGTGGAAGATACCGCCGCCACCCTCAGCGAAGTGAGCATTGATGACCACTCCGAAACGTCATCTGAAACAAAACAATCAGCGAAACCGAAAAAGAAGAAGGCGGTGGGTTTCGCCGAGGAACCAGTGGAAGAGCTCTGGCAACACCATAAACAGGTGGAAAAGAAGCAGCGCCAGGAGATGAAGCTGCACCCGTTTCAGAAAGTGCCCCCCGAATTGGCCTACTTGGAAAAGAAGAACAACCCCGGCCCCCAGCCCATTGAGAAGAAGCCCACCAAGCGCCAGCCGAGTCAGGCGTCGTTGGGCAAGCTCGGCGACTTGCGGAACATGCCGATCAAGGAGCTCTCGGTGCAGAACAAGCGCACCGAGATCAACTTCCACCACACCCTGGTGTGGCTCCCCGTGCTGAAAAACCAGGTGCTTGTCGACGTCGAGTACGTGTCGCTCCAGCTGATCGACTTAGCCAAAATTAACCGCTATGGTCTCAATCTCCTGGAAAAGAAAGTCGGGTTGGGTTACGAGTACGCCGGTACCGTGAGCCATATCGGCACGATTAACCTGTACGAGATTAAAGTCGGTGACCGTGTCTACGGGATCATTCCCACCGAAGGCCACAAGGGGACGATGTCGTCGAGTTTGGTGATCCTGCTTACTAGTGACATCTACGTCATCATCGACGACGACATGTGGGCCAAGATGGACGAAACCAACATCAAACTCGATTTCCTGAAACCGAAGGACGAGTTCGAAATCGATCTGGACGACGACGGCGACAGCGAAAGCGTGGAGGCAGCGAGAGAACACCACCAACAACAGGCTCGCCGGGCCTCTGACGCCACCTCGACCTCCGTCACCACTACTGGCTCTAACAATATCTTCCACAAAAAACGGTCAAACCCGTTTGCTCTTAACCAGTCATACTACCCGCCCATGGCCAAATTCTCGGCGATCTCCGAGTGCTACTGCCGCGCCCGCCAGGTGCTCGACCACTTGAAGGTGACCACGAGCGCCTCGGTGTTGATTAATGGTGGTGACACCATTCTCGCCCAAACCATCTTGCAAGTGATGTTTGCTGAGTACGAGCAATTGGCTAAGGCTAATGTCATTTTAATTGTGGCTGACTCTAATAAGGAACGCACGGAAGCGTTCATTGAGAACTTGAAGCAAGTGTACTATGACCCTGCCAAGACGTTCACCTTCTCCGTCGTCACCTTTGACATGGCCCCAATTGCCTTCATCCCGGGGAAGCCCACTCCGGAGGAATTGGCGGTCACCAACTACAAGAAGCTTGACTACTTTGCCGTCGAAGTCATCGAGAAATTGTTTGCCAACCACAACGCTCACATCGGCCCGCCCGTACTTGCGCTGACGGTCAACGAGTGGAAACTCGATTTGTTCGTCGACATCATTGGCCTGAAAAAGTACTTCCAGCACTCAGTTGGGTTGGATAAGATGGACGAGATCCAGTTCCCCGTGCACGAACACTTGGGGGCGCCGCTCTACGAAGTGTTCAACGGCAAGGACAAACTGCCGTTATTCCTCAAACTCCTCAAACCGAAGAAGTACAAGCTGGCGTTCGTGCTGTTATGTGAATGGAACGTGAAGAACCCGCTGTATCTGATGGACAAGTTACAACCCTACAAGGAGCTGAAACTGGCGTTGGGCAACTCGTTGTTCAACGTGATGCTGTACTACAACTATTACGACGAGCTGATGTTGCGGGCCTCGGAGAAGTGGTGTATCAACGCTTACCAGTTGGTGGTCCAAGAGAAGCTCAAGTTTGATATCGATGCAATCGTCGACTGGAGAGATAACACGAGAAAATACCTCGCCGAAATGAGACAGACGGACATGAAGATGATCTTCAAGGTGGAAAAAATCTAGCTCCGCCCCCGTTCCATTGTATAATTTGGCAATATATTCCATCCTTTATGATGTTATCATAATTTGTAGCCCTGGTGCCTCTCAGTCATATCCCGTTTAGGCTAGGTTTAGCCTCGGGTGGGACGGCCTCTATCTCGTTTGGGAAAGGAGCCTGCGTTACTAAGGCGCCACGATGCAGCCTAACACAGCTCCATGGGATCAGCCTACACACCCACCAATCCCACCGTTTACACCGTGACTTCGGTGAAACACCCACATTCTTCACGCAGAGGTCACCATGTAATTCGCGCACCAACCAATGCACTCCCTCAGGTGACGCCATCGCTCTCTTTCAAAAAAGTCTACCAATGGTTCTGTGTTACAACTTAGTCAACGGCCAAGCCATTGGCTTAGCTTTCAGTTTTCCCCATTTGCACCCCACCAGGCCCCATGCTGATCCAATGTAAACACCGATGAAAATTCTTGGGGCGCCTGTGACTATACAATTAAACCCAATACACCGCCTAATTAACTAGCTGTCGGCGGCTAATACTCCCAATACCGAATACTAATTGTCTTCCCGAGGCCATCGGGCGTCTAGACCCTCTCCGCCAACCGTCTACGGCCATTGAGTTAACCTTTTTTAGGTGTGTCAAGGCGCCCACTGCCGCGGTTCAACCGTCAGTGGCGCCATGCACGGCTCCACCTCGTCCATCGATTGGGCCCCGCCGCCAAAACATTGCTGCCGTAGCCGAACTGGGCACCATCCGTTGGCCTGATAATCGGTTCAGAAAACCGTAGAATATCCGTAGGGCAATAGTATATGGGGGACCAATGGCTGTGGTTGCCCCTGTTCGTGTACATACCGCTTCCCCAGACCCACTCGCATTTAGCGCGTACAGGTGCCTGATGATTACGACCCACTCACAACAGACGCATGCTGTTTGTTTACTCAGAGAATCCACCCGCCGGGGGCTGACACCCCCACCATGCCCGCCTCAGTACAAAACCAGCAGTATCTGCCCCGTTTTTGATGATCTAGGTTTACTTGCCCTTCCCCTACAGCGTCCCTCACTACTCCCTTCCCTGACCCCTCCTAAGGTCAAGTACATTCGTTTGCAAACACTCCCTTTTGACTATTACGATGCGTTATTCCCTCCTTTCGATGGCTGCTTTAGCCGCTGCTGACGGCACCTTATTGTTGCTGGCGTTCCACCACCAGGGCCAGCTTCAGTTCCCAATGAAAGTGGGACTGAGCGATGAGGAAATCAAGTTTGTTGGTGTTAGTGAGCAAAGTGCCATTTTCATCAACGACATCAAAGGTGCCTGTGCTCCTGATAAAGCCAAAGATAACTCGGATCTTTGCTCGAACGCCTGGAACGCCCTGGACTCGAAACTGTTAAAGCTTAGCGACGATAAGTTCACCAATAACTGGTACAACGGGCTGTGGGCTACCGACGAGATCCGTGTTGGCGTGGCCGACTTGCTGGGAGTCCCCTTTGGTCTTCTGCAACCGCTGGCAGTGCAAATGAAGACCAATGCCGGCAATATCGATATCGGGGCCCTTGGCTCCAGTTTTGGCTACGGCATCCAGCTGAACGATCTGGCCCTCTCTGATCACTCGTTCATTGACTATCTTACCAAACTGAGCGTGATTCAAAAGCCGGTATTCTCCGTATACTCGGCGGACCCCGTATACCTGAATGCCTCGAAAATCAACTTCTTATATGGTGGTGTTGATACTGCTAAATACGGCAAATTGGCTGATTTAGATATCCAATTACCCAAAGAAGCCTCGGCTCTCATCGGACTGGTGGCCCTTAAAGCGTTATACATTGAGGATGGCGATAAGACCGATAAAGTGACCGACGATAAGAACTACAGTATTGACTTGCGCTACCTGTACTCGGCAGTGACCGACTTTAAGATGCCTAAGGGCGTGTGGGATAAGGTGAAGGATCACTTTAAATACTCTGATGTGCTGGGAGCGCTCCCTCAGGCTGAGGGTGACTGTATCTCGTCGGACGCTCTGTTTGTGTTTGAGTTCAGCGATGACGTCAAAGTGAAGATCCCCTTCAAGGATTTACAGGCTAAACTGACCAACGACGACTCCAAGTGCTCGGTGAGAATGTACGGTGGCTCGCTGGATACCGACTTCTTCTTCGGGCCGGCGATGTTGCACCACATCTATGCTGTTTACGATACCAAAGAACGTAAGGTTTCTTTAGGACAAATGGTTTTTGGCGACGATCTGTCGGTGGAGAGTGTCTCCGGTGACTTGCCTCAAGGTAAAGCTGCCACTGACTCTTCGTCTAAGTCCAGTGAAGCGTCTGGTAGCGAAGCTTCTTCCTCGCTGACTCCCTCGAAGGATAACTCGCAACAAAAGCAATCGGGTACCTCCACTGTTAGAGTTAGTGTGCTGGTGTTGGCCATGGCCATGATGGCGCTGTGGTTTATTTAGACTTTATACATGATTAGACGATTTGATATGAATAAAAGGTATATGGATAAAGAATTACTTCATAGTTGGAAGTGGGTCACATGATAAGGAATGTCACATTTAATTAAACGGTTACCCGTCAAGTCGAGAGTATGGACTCGGGGAGGTATCTCAATCTCAGTTATGACGTTAAATGCCGCCACAAGTACCTCAAGCGGTAGCGGTAGATTTGTAAGAGTGGTCAAATCGTTCATCGACACATCAAGACTCTTAAGCTGGTAACAATCTAATTGTATGCTGGTCAAATTATTGTTGCGGACACTAAGATGGCGAATCAGGTTCAGTAATGGAGGGATTGTTGATAATCGACACCCATCTAACGAAAGCAGCTCAAGGTTTTGAGGTAAGCAGATGCTTGTAAACACCGTATCATACACTGTTAGCGCTTGTGTCTGCCACTTGCTAGCGTCGATGTGGCCTGAAAATTTCAACAGCGGCGAATATCGATACTCCTTATACCTAACATCCTCTATCGGTGGTTGATCTGAGTCGACGACATCGGCGGTGATGGTCAAGGGGAAATTGACATCTTTCCACACCAACTTTTCGAGTCGTAGATCTGCCGATATCTCCACCTGGTGGAAGTGGACGCCGACACATTTGAGAGTCCGAAGATGAGGGGGGAAGGCTACGGAGACATCACACGACACCAACGTGACATCGCTGACACTGGCGGAGAGCTGTAGCTCGCCGGACACGTACCTGGCATTAACTTGCTCTAGTGTATGCACCGACCGGAGATCAACCCCACAACCTCCTTTGATGTCGACTTGGCGCAACCGGGGGTAAAAGCAAAGTGGGGTGAGATTGTGGACCACCCACGCAGAGATGACCTTATGGGCGGGGATGACAGGGGCAGATTGAGGGTGAAGCACCTCGAGGTAAGTGATGCCGGGGTAGGTGACGTCATTGTCGTTGGCAGTGGTCACTTTATAGGTGACGTTAGTTAAATGACGGAGGGCTTTGGGACCTCTAACAACTCGGGTAGTCCCGCAAATGAATCGGTACACTTGCGTCCAATGAGGGTGGTGGTCAATGGCATCAAGCAAGTGTAATAGATCGTCGATGGCGAGATTAGAGGTGATCTGGTGGATCACTTCGTAAGGTAGCCGATACATGAGAGAATACAGTGACAAGGGGGACGACGCCTTATATGGGCTCATATTTCATGGTGATATTTTTCTTTCATGGTTGTTAAGGGGAAAAGTTTGGTAACCAAGACAGGTTTTAGAGATCATTAGGCCCAGTAAAGACAATAGCCTATTATTGTGGGGCGGGCATGGCTATTGTGTCTGGTGATCGCACGCACGCGCATTGCAGCACGGTTGTCCTGGGGAAATCACTACAGTGTGACACTATACAAAGTGATATGCGACAGAGATTATATTGAATTGCAGTTAACTGACAGTTACAAAGCCTTTTTGAACAAGAATTCCTCGTCAGGCACCTCTTCAACCTGCACGTGCTTGGGCTTAGGCGTGGGCAACGAGGGAGCAGGGTTGGCGGGCTTCGACGCCAACGCCGCCGGCTTCGGCTTCGGCCGAGGTTTCAGTTGTTGTTGCAGAGATCTTTGTTGCGGTTGAGGTCTGATTTGAGGCTTCAGCTGGGGCTTGGGCGGCTGGGGTCTCAGCTGTTGGTGTCTCGGCTGTTGTTGTCTCTGTTGCTTAGCCCGGAGATATCTTTCATTTTCCCGGTCAATGTCTTCGGCAACGTCTTCAGCGGTGACCATATCGTTGAGCGGCTTCATGTACTTCATGTTCTGGTAGCGCTCGTTCTCGTTCTTGATTTTGTTGGCCGTTTCGTAAGCGGTAGCCAAGCGCTCGTTCTCGAGCAAATCGATCTGGTCCTCCAATTGCTCGGCAATCTCAAGCGCCTTCAGCATCTTCTCGGCGTCACTGAGGCGGTGGTTGCTGTCCAATTGCTCGACAAGGCGGTAGGCCCGCGCCAACAAGTCCAGCGCCTGCAACTTGGAGCGGTCCACCAGCTTCTGCTTACCGTTTTGGGCACCGCCGTTCTTTGGTTGCGACTTCAGCGATTGCAGCTGTTGTTGCTGGCGCTGCTTCACTTGGCGCTCATAACGGTCGTCTTCGTCCTCAATCTCTTCCGCGGTGTCGATGGCCGTCACCATGTTGTTGAGGGGTTGCATGTACTTGCGGTTGACGTAGGCCTCGTCCTCGTCCTCGATGTCCTCGGCAAGCTGTATCGCTGACACCATGCGTTCGGCCTCGTCCCACAAGTCCTCGTCGCCGCCGTCTTCCAAGTAGCGCATCCAGGCGCTGTTCTGGTTCAGCTCGTGGTTGTCGGTGACCATCTGGTGCAACAAGTGGAGCGGGTGCTTGCGCTTGGGGACAATCAACGTCAACTTGTTCCCCAGGTTTTCCCAGTGGATGCGGTCGGGGTCGCCGTGGGGGAAGACAAACTCCTTGTAGTAGCCGTCGTCATCGTTCTGGACGGCGAGAGCCAAGCCGTCACCAACCCGCTTCGCCTTCAAGTCGTAACCAGTGAACGAGCCCTCCTTGGTGAGCTCGACTTGGTACTGGTCAGGGGTCTCCAGCTTGCGGCATACTTGGGCCCCGCGCTTCAACTGTTCAATGTGGCGGATAAGGCGGTCGTAGTCGTCAAAGGAAAACATTAGTGGGGAGTGATGGTAGATTCAATTTTCACCCGCCGTTAGTTTCATTTATATAATTCCGAGAAAAACAGCAAGCAAACCACCTTAGCGGTAGGTGTATGTGTAGGCTGATAATTTGCAGCCAGAAATTGCGAGCATGGGGGAAAGTCACGCCATTGGGGCAATTGGGGAGGGGCAGGTGAAACAGCAATAGCTCAATGCGATAGTAAAATAAAGAATCTAAGAGTTGATAAAGAGGGTATAGTTCATAATCCATGACGATTGTGACCAGTTTAGACTTTTCTCCACCCTAAGTTGCGTTCGTGTTACGTAAGCAGGGGTCCGGTAGCATCGGCTAGGGGGGTAGCAGCCACTTAGTCGGTCAGTGGTAGCGCCAGGCACCCCCGGGACATCGCGAGCCGAAAAAGAGAGATGGTAGAAAAAGTCCCTGACCACTACGCTAAGTTCATTGTAGTAATCGTAGCTGACAATCGATTGAGTCGCTGATTAACAGCTGTAATCGCTTCAGGATCAAGGGGAAGAGGGGAGAGGCAAAAAAAAAAAGGATAGACTACGGGGGGCGAAGCCAGTGATGACCCACCCAATTTAGGCAACCCTTACTCAATGGGTTGGTCGAGTGATAAGAGTTTCTTCAGCTTTAGTTAGAGCTCCTATTTTGCATCAATTGGTGTCGGTTGGTGTCAGCTTGTGTTTATGTTTATTTTTGGGTGAAAATTTATACGGGGGTGGTGGCCGAAAATGGTAGTGCATATTGCCCTTTTGCCAAACAGTAGTGGTGGGTGACCCGCGGGGGTTCTGTTTGGTTTCTAGTTTGGTACACACACTATGGGTTGGTTACCTGGACAACGGGGGGTGCTCGATTCACGCGGCGTGCGTTTTGGCCTTAGCGTGAGTGTGTTATTGCCTCACGTGCAGGCACTGCCCACATCGCCCGATTCCGAAACCGGCAGTAATGAAGCACAGGAGAGAAGAGATCGAGTGGGGGCTCCCCCCGGTGGGAATGTTAAGTTGTAGCATTAGATTTAATTCCGGAAGTAATCTTTCGAAACACGTCGTTCACGGTACCATACATATTGGCGATCTCGAAAACGACGGCGTCCCTGGCTCGTGGCCTTTGTGTCTCCGCGTGCTATTTTTAGCGGGACCCCCTCCTCCACCCCCCCAGCAGCAAACGGGGCCTGACGAAAATGTTCGTTCTACCAAAAATGCGGCCAATGAGCATCGGCGATGAGCGCCTCGGCTTGATCTCACGGCAACGCACCTCTAGGCATCGGTAGCTTCCCCCCCTCAAGAGTTTGCCACAAGGGGCGAGAATGGGCCCCGCTGCGTGCGACATTCAGACGCGACTAAAGGGCAAACAATACGTCGCGACTACCACGCAACGAGGTAAGCCATACACGAGCCAGTACAGACGTTCGACCGCCGGCGATGCCAATAGCAACCGGCGTATATTTCGAGGCCAGCCCACGCAATAAATGCCAATGCCTTCAGCGTATATAATTTACGTCACACTAGTCGCGATGTTCATCGCGTGGAAACGCCGTGACCGCACTGGTGTGTAAAACCGACGCAGAATGAGGGCCAGACACGATGTCGTGGTATGGGTGGCTGTATCAGATACGGAGTTCTAGACAACTACGTATACAGTGTGAAAAATAGACTAAGGAACGGCGTTTGTTCTTTTGTGGAGGCCTGCGGCTCGGCACGGGGGGCGGGAGAGCAACGGCAGTCACTGGTTTTCGCCTTCGTCACCCGTCGTCATAGCCTCCTGCGCCCTGCTGTAAGGACATTTCCCTTAGTATCACCTGGTTACGGGCCCGGCCGACAGGTCCCATCTGCGCGAAATAAAAAAAAATCTAACCGCACAAATAAACACCTGAGCCATCCTCGACTAAAAAAAGGCCAAATCCATCGGTGGCGATTCCGGCGGTTTTTCTCAGCGAGTAACGCCATGTTGACCAATCGCAAAGCCTGGGCAGTGGCACTGGTACTCACCGTCGCCGCTGCCACTTCCACCACGCCTCATGGCGACGACCAGCCGCTCCCCTGTGGCCCCTCCATGGCGGTGTTAGACACTAACATTGACGACCACGCCGGCGCTCACCACTACACCCCACAAGAACAGCAATGGCTCGAGCAACGGGTGTCGGAGCTCCTCAGCCAGAACTACGACGCCGCTGCGGCGGCGCTGGTGGCGGAGCTGGAGATCCACTCCACCGATAACTCGTGGGGGTTTTTCCACATGATCCGCAACATGAAGAACGTGTTTACCCCCAACGCGTTGTTTAAGCGTGCTAACGAAACCACGCTGACGGGGTTTGGCGGCGGCTTTTTCACCTTCAGCACCCCGCTGACCCCGTCGTTTGATTTCACCAATTTCGGCCAGCTGACGGAGTCCACCTCAACGACATCGTCCACCCGCGCCACCCCCTCGCCGCTGGAGCTGCTGAACGGCGGCGACTCGACGTCGGCGACTCCGGGCCAATTCTCCCTGCAAACTACTACATCTTCCACCTCGGAACCGACGTTCGGCCAATCGACGCTGGAACCCACCACCAGCAGCACTAGCGAGTTTTCGTCGCCGTCGACGCTGCTGTTCCCGGAAACCACCTCGTCCACCGAGGAATTCACGTCTCTGCTGACAGAGCTGACCACGTCGGAAACATCATCGCTGAGAACACAAGATACCACCTCGAGCCTGGAGGAAACCACCTCCTCATCGCTGACGCGGACCCTGCGTTCGTCGTCGCGAACTAACGATACCCCGCTGTCGACGACCGAGTCCACCACCGAGCTGACCGCCGAGCCCTCTCTGGCGAGCACCGGTACCGACCTGTCGAGCGACCGCACCACGCTGCTGGCGCTGGAAACCACCAGCGACGACCCGCTGCGGACGACGCTGGACGACACTCTGGCGACGCTGGACTTTGTCTCCCGCGTCGTGACGACGTTGCTGGGCCTGGTGGTCACCGTGACGCTGACGTACCTGCTGGCGCCGTCGAGCGCCTCCACCGGCGACGGCAAGAAGGAGAAGCTGGGCGGCGGTTTGAGTGAGTCGAACCGGATCGTTGTCGGGGTGGTGGTGGGTGTCGGGGGCGCGTTGATCATCGGCGTCATCGCGCTTCTTTTCTACTTACGCAAACGCAGACACCAAGAACACGAGCTGGGCAAGTGGACCTTCTGGAAGAAGGAAGGTAAGGGCACCGACGAGTTCTTGACCGGCGAGTTGGGTGTGCGTGACCGCAACATCAACCAAGGGTCCAACTTCTAATGAGGTCTTGCTAGTGTTTTTGTTTGGAATTTAGGTTATATTGGGTATATAGAGGATGACTGCCACTTTTAATACATCATCGGCGACACTACGAGTCCGATCGGACCTCGCACATATACATCAAGCATAAGCCAATCACCACAGTGGCTATCTGCAATTAACAAATCAAATATCTAAAACCTTTAGCAACGCATCGAATTACCTCAGCCAATATTGAGCTGTTTAATTGCCCCATTATTTTCATGTGCCAAGGCTCCCTCGTTGTGGTTTAGGGGCTCCGGTATCATTTAGCCGAAATGTGCGTGTAACCGCAAACCCCGCCACAGCGCCACCCTGCGAACGCCCACTGACTACACGGCAAACAGCAATGATCCGGTGAGGGGAAGTGACCATTAAACAAGATCACGAACCATTCTATATTGAAGTGGTGGGCATTGGTTGATTTGATCGTAGTCTAATGCTAGTTTTATTGAAGGTTAGGCAATTGTGGTTCGGGGTCTGACCTGCATATACTCTGATTAACACCCATAGTGGCTGCAATTGTGCAGGTCGTTCCGCCCCCCCTAGACTCCATTGCGCTTGCCTCCCCCATATATATTGCTATCTTCCAGGCTATAGCTTTAAAGTACCCAAAAACCAAATCCACACCATGGAAAAGACTCCTCGCTTCTTACAGCCGGAGCGTCCCTCGTGGATCACGCGTGCCCAGAAGTGGCTCGTGGGTCTCGTCGTGTTTGGCTTCCTCTACAGCCTCACTGGCTGGGGGTGTCCTTACAAGGCGGCCCAGGTGGCGATGCTGAACAAGCCTGATAAAATCGACTTCAGAGACCAAATCGATAAGGCGTTGGCCATCAATTTGGCCGGCGACTGGTCCCACCGCTATACCAACGAGTCCCATTTGGCGGGTGAAAATGAGGCCCTTGTGGAGTTCACTAAGAACAAGTTTAAGGAGTTTGGTTTTAAGCCGCTGACCGATGAATACGAAGTGTTGTTGCTGAAGCCTCAGGACCACGGGTTGTGGCTTAAGGACGGCAAGAAGGTGGTGTTTGAAGCGTCGTTGAAGGAAGATAAGCTTAAGGACGACCCCACCTCGCTTAAGGATACCGTGCCCACGTTTGTTGGTTACGGAGCCAACGGTAACGTTACTGCCCCTTACGTTTACGGCCTGTACTGTACGCTTGACGACTTTGCCGAGTTGACTAAGCGTAAAGTCAATGTTAATGGTCTGATCGTTGTCTGTCGTTATGGCGGCATTTTCCGTGGTCTTAAAGTGAAGTTCGCTCAGGACTACGGTGCTAAGGGTGTGTTGCTCTACACTGACCCTGGTGACGACCATGGCATCACCCCCGAAAATGGCTATAAGGCGTACCCTGAAGGTCCCGCTCGTAACCCGCTGAGTGTGCAAAGAGGGTCGGTGCAGTTCCTTGGCGGCATCGGTGCTGCTCCCGGTGACCCTACCACTCCCGGTAAGCCCCTGAAAAAAGGTGCCAAGCGTCACGACCCTTATAAGCTGATCCCCAAGATCCCCGTGCTCCCGATCTCGTTTAAGGACGCTGAACCGATCTTGGCTAAGCTTAACGGCCACGGTAAGCTGTTCGGCGACGGCGGCTTGAAGAAGTTCGACTACTCCACCGGCCCCCACCCTGAACTCACCTTGAACTTGTACTCGCAACAGAAGTTTGGCCTTGAAACCATTACCAATGTTTACGGTGAACTTGAAGGTGAAAAGAAGCACGAAGTCATTGTTATTGGTAACCACCGTGACGCCTGGATCAAAGGTGGCGCTGGTGACCCCAACTCCGGTTCGGCGGTGTTGCTTGAAGTGGCACGCGCCCTCGGCGAAGTGGCCGCTTTGGGCTACAAATTCCAACGGACCATCGTGTTGCATCTGTACGATGGTGAAGAATACGGTCTTTTGGGGCTGACGGAGGCCGGTGAATACTACGCCAAGGAGTACAAGCGCAACGTCATTGCCTACTTGAACTTGGACTCGGCCGTCACCGGGCTGCACTTGCTGCTTGGTGCCTCGCCCTTGCTCAACCACGTGTTGCTTGAAGTGGCCAAGTACATCCAGCACCCTCGTGGCGGTACTTTGTACGAAAACTTCATTAAGGAAAAGGGCGAAATCAACCACTTGGGGCTGGGCTCGGACTACACGGTGTTCTTGGAACACTTGGGGATCCCCTCGGCCGACATTGGCTTCAAGGGAGGCAAAGGTGACGCCATCTACCACTACCACTCCAACTACGACCTGTACCACTGGATCAAGACGTTTGGCGACCCCCACTTCACCTACCACAATGTGGCGGCTAAGTACATCGCCCAGCTCGTGGCGACGTTGCTGGAACACGAGATCTTGGAGTTCAGCACCTTGGACTACGTCGAGAAGTTGCACGGCTACTTTGACAAGGTGAGAGACAAGGTCAAGAACAAGTGGTTGGACAGACGCGTCAAGCAGGAAGTGCAGAAGATGGGTGGCTGCCCCGGTATGAACAGATGGAAGGCGGTGCACCAGGTGTTGGCCGACAAGACTGAGACTACCACTAAGGGTCCTAAGCCTACTAAGGATCCCAAGAAGCCTCACGACCCTCACCACCCTCACGATCCTGACCACCCCGACCACCCCGACCACCCTGACCACCCTGACCACCCTCACAAGCCTCATGACCCTGACCACCCCCACAAACCTCACAGACCCCACAAGCCTCACAAGCCCCACAAGCCTCATGACCCTAAGAAGCCCCACGACCCCGATCACCCTCCTCACCACGACCCTGACCACGACCACCCTCACCACGGTGACCACCACCATGATGACCACCACCACGGCGGTAAGCACGGTAAGCACGGTAAGCACGGCGACCACCACGATGACCACCATGGCGACCACCACCACGATGACCACCATGAATTGGTGGCTAGAGACGAGGGCAAGCACCACAAGGGCGGCAAGCACCACGGCGACGACGACGTCGTGACGTTGGCCGACTTGCTCAAGTCGGTGTCGCACCAGTTGAAAGACTTCTACAAGGCGCTGCGCAAGTTTGACGCCCGTCTGATCGACTTGGCCGACGAGCTCTTGCACTGGAACGACTTGCACTGGTGGGACAAGCTCAAGTTGCACTTTAAGGTCAAGGCGCACAACGGGGTGCTCCACCGGTTCGAGGGCCACTTCTTGGTCGACGAGGGTCTCCACTTGCGCCCCTGGTTCAAGCACCAGGTGTTTGCCGCGGGGAGAACCACCGGCTACGCCGGCGAGACCTTGCCTGGGTTGACCGAGGCCATTGAAGACGACGACTTCCAACGGTTTGTCGACTGGTTGCGCAAATTTGAACGCACCATCCAGTTGCTGATTAAGAACTTGGACTACCACTAGACTTGCGTAAACTGAACATGTGTGTTACTGTTTTATTGTTAGCAAATACAAAGTGAAGAGAAATACTGTAGACGGTGTGCATTAGTTGGGAATCCTGGTTCCAGCTTTGACGGCATTGTTCTGTTGACGATGATGTAACCCAACATCTCTACACCCTAAATTAATCACGAGAAAATTTTATGCTTTAGTTCTAGCGACAAACACATGAAATTTAGGGAACGAGTAAACAATTAGGTTCTTTATGGAACTTTTTCGCTCGCCTCGGGGCTGACCGATCTCCTCCTTGGAATGTTACCCCATACTTTAACTCTCTCTACCCCTCCCCCTCAAATTGCTAATATGATTTCAGCCCCCGAAGGAATTCCGTCCATTAAAAAAAAAGCGTAATTCCCAGAGGCTGGTAATGGTACATGCTTCGGGCACGGGGCGAAGAGAGGCTTGGGGCATGTGGCACAGACGGAGAATATCCAAGGTATTCTGGTTGTTCCCCTGTATACGAGGATAGTTTTGCCGTAGGCATATACGGCTATTTCCCCTAGTTAGCCCATCCGTAGCATCCATACGAGCGGTAATAGGCTTTGCGGGCCTACTGAGCAGCGCCTATAACCCAAATGCCACCCTTGACAACGGTCACGCCCCCGTGTCCTTTGTCCCTGAAAATCGACACAATCTCCGTTCACAAACTCCTCTAATTCCGTCCAAACGCTATTGTTCCCTTTTCAAAGGGCAGCAGATACGAGAAACGCACCTGCACTACAGGTGTGCTTTTGCCGCTGACAATAGCTATGACAGGTGCCCGAGAAAAATCAAGGTGAGAATGTTTCTCTATGAGTTTGGTCACACCAAGTTTCATTGACTATTCGCATTCCCATGCCGTATTCCACCTGGCCCAATGTATGCGTATTTCTAATGCTACGAGCGATGTTCTATTAAGCCTGGCCTCTCTCGACGGTCGCAAGAAACAGAGAATATTGAGAACCTCGAAACAAATTTGAATCTGAAAGCCATTCCGAAGCTGTCGGATAACACACTGCTGATTGAAGATGCTACCGGCGACGATGTCAACTATAATTGAAACTCAAAAGAAAACTATTAACAAACTTCGAGATGAGAATACGGATCTCAAACTCGAGCAATTGGATCTAAACGATCGGATTGTTGCACTTGAGGCAGAAGTACAAAAGTTGCAAAGCAGTGGTAGTCAAGTTGAACCACATATGGGAAAAATTGAAGTTTACCAGGCTCACACTCACACGGAGTTAGTCTGGCGTCCCTCTCCAATGTGGACACCAGCAAAAAAAAGAAAAACCGCCTCTCACCGTGGTTCGGCTACACCGCTTGTGTCTGCGGTGCCTGCTGCCGGAGTTAGCACTGCAGCAACGGTTGTCGAGAGGGTCTGGACGCATCCCGTTATTACAATACCATTTGTGACAACACAGAATGGATGCTGGTCTTTTTTTTTTTTTTCTATGGCATATGTGCGTCGGACTTCCTCGGGCTTAATGCCGGCCTCTGCGCAGCACGCGCCACTGCACCGCCGGCAAATTGTGCCTGCGGAATTCCCTGCTGTTCTCACTAAACGAGCTACCCTGCGCTACCCTGCGTAGCTCGGGCGCAGCGATGCAGTCTCCCATTAACCCCCGATACAGTGTGGGTTTATTGTTGATGCGAGGCCAGTATGCGACCGACTGCATATATTTAACGGAAAAACACCGGTAGGCCAAACGATGCCTCGGTTAGGTAACCATGGCGTACCCATCCTGGGTTGGTCTCGTGTGCACGTGGCAGCCATCGGAGAAACCTCCATAATCACCGGGCTGCACCTGGTGCATATTAGCTAATGATGATTAATTTGTGGCGCCGTCGTATGTTGACCCGTATCAGGCAGACAGCGTCGACGATGACAAGCCCGCCGCCTCGGCCACCGCAGCCTTGCCGGAGTTCCGCGGCCAACGTGTCGCTTGTGAGCAAATTAGGTGTCATTTCGGCGAAAACTCGGCAGGTGCAAAATCGCTCAGCCTCGTGAAAGCCACGTCGGTTCGGTAGGTGTTCTGTACCCGCCCCTGTTTCACTTCCAGTACTCGAACTTGTGGCATTTGAAAAACCGTCGAGGATGTGCCGACACTTCCGATGACGGCACCACTCTCCCGACCGGTGCGGCGCTCAGGCATCGCGCTCATCGATGCCGCGATGAGCGCACGCCCCCCGTAACTCACCCCCACAGCCATGGCGAGAACGTTGACGGGCCTGCTCGACGAGAAGGTGTATGAGCTCATCCACCGCCTTCTCAACGAGTTGTCGCTGCCAGAGGCGCCGGCGCTGGCGTTCACCATCCTGGTGGCGCAGGTGATCGAGTACTGCCAGGGGCGAGACTTCAAGCTTAAGCGGATGAAAGTGAAGCAATTGGAGAAGTCTGTCGATCCGGTGCTCCGAGTGATTCGTCAAGAAGAGAGGGAGGAAGCCGGTAGCGATGGCGCTGACGGCGCCGATGAGTCAGGTGATGCCAGCGCTAATGGCGCCGATGACGACACTTCTAATTTGGTCGAGGACGTCGATACCCACAACTTTGCCAACAAAGATATCATTGAGCAGATGAAAAAGCACACGGCGCCGGCTCTGGCGCCCGAGGCGCTGGATGATAAGCCCCGCAAACGTCGGAAGAAGCAGTTGGAGCTGACGCCGCCGCAGACCAACTTGGCGGCGCTTGGAGGCATGGACGACGTCACTAACCAGCTTATGGAGACGGTGGGGCTCCCTATCCTTCACCCGGAGATCTACCAACGCACTGGCGTCCAGCCGCCACGAGGAGTATTGCTCTACGGTCCCCCAGGGTGTGGTAAGACGCTGGTGGCCCACGCGCTTGCCGGCGAGCTCCAGGTGCCGTTCTTCAACGTACTGGCACCGCTGATCGTGCTGGGGATGCTGGGGGAGCTGGAGAAGAAGCTTAGAGAGTTATTTGACGAGGCGAAGGCCGTGGCACCGGCGCTCATCTTCATGGACGAGATCGATTCGATCACGCCGAAGCGCGATGGCGGCGCCCAGCGGGAAATGGAGCGCCGGATTGTCGCCCAGCTTTTGACGCTTATGGACGAGCTCACCATGGAGAACTTAGACGGCAAACCCGTGGTGGTGATTGGCGCCACTAACCGCCCGGACTCGCTTGATCTGGCGCTTCGGCGCGCGGGGCGCTTCGACCGCGAAGTGTGCTTAAATGTCCCTAACGAAAACCAGCGCGAAGCCATTCTCAGAGCGATGACGTCATCGCTTAACATCGCCGACCGCGACCAGTTTAATTACCGCCATCTCGCTAAGCTCACCCCAGGTTACGTCGGAGCAGACTTACAAGCTTTAGTCCGGGAAGCCGGGATCTGGGCCGTCAAGAGAATTGTGGAGACGATTGCCTCTTCCGAAGAAGAAGGCGCTATGGACATTGACCAACCGCAAAGATCAATTATTCAACGGTTTTTATCGCTGCACCCGGATCCACTTTCCGATGACGAATTGTCGCTTTTAGATATCACTTATGCTGACTTTGAAAAGGCCTTGCCTCACGTCCAACCGACAGCTAAGCGTGAAGGTTTTGCTACCGTGCCCGGAGTCACGTGGGCTCAAGTTGGCGCCTTACAACCAGTAAGAGAAGAACTCCATATGCTGATTGTGCAACCGATTTTAAAACCAGAGATCTACCGTAAAGTGGGGATCCTGGCTCCCGGTGGTGTATTGATGTGGGGTCCTCCCGGGTGTGGTAAGACTCTTTTAGCTAAAGCCGTCGCCAATGAACTGCGAGCCAATTTTATCAGTATCAAAGGCCCTGAGCTTTTAAACAAGTATGTGGGTGAATCGGAAAGAGCAGTGCGTCAAGTGTTTGCTCGGGCGAGAGCTTCGGTGCCCTGTATCATCTTTATGGATGAATTGGACGCGTTGGTGCCCAGAAGAGACCTGACGCTTTCGGAACTGTCGGCCCGTGTGGTAAACACTTTACTCACTGAGCTTGACGGCTTGAATGACCGTGGTGGCGTCTACTGCATCGGTGCCACTAACAGACCCGATATGATTGACCCGGCGATGTTGCGTCCCGGTCGGTTAGATAAGACATTATTCATCGATTTACCTAACCAGCAAGAGCGCTTACAAATCATTGAGACCATCGTCAGAGCCAACAAAACTCCCTTAGCCGCCGACGTCCGTCTTGACGACGTGGCAGCTCAATCAGACCGGTTCTCGGGTGCCGATCTCTCGGCGTTAGTGCGTGAGGCCGGTGTCAGTGCGTTGAAGTCTAAGTTCTTCTCCCAGGGGCTGCTTCGCGATTTGGAGCTGCTGGGGTTCGTTAAACCCGAGGAAGAAGACACTGACGACATCGAGGTGACGGCACACGACTTCGCCAAAGCGTTGGCGCTGATCAAACCGTCGGTGCTGGAAAGCGACCGTGCCCGCTACGAGCGGTTGCTGAAGAAGTTGGGGTGGAGCGTCATGGACAAGGCCGAGTCGTAGAAACCTATTTGCATACCCATTTTGTAATAATATCATTATAGATCAGATTATCGAATTCGTATAGCTCTTCCATGTGTCGAAAAATGCGAAAAGTCTGGAAATTTGAGATCTCCTCTTGGTTGCAAAAACTACTCGCGGGGACAAAAAAGCAATCAATTCGTAATCAGTTAGATTTAAAAAATTCTAACGGCAATTGGCATCTAGTTGGTGCACCAACATAATAGATGTCTTGAGTACTCTATCATTCAGAGCCAATTTAGACCTATTCGAGTAACCATGGCGGAGGATTCAAATGCGATAGCGCACATATTAAGTGGGTGTTGTGCACTTGACAAAAGATTATCGAACCATCCATATTTCTGTCAAATCTATGATTGGTTTACTTTGTTAGGTTGACCTCCATGATCGGAGAGGCGTCTTTCAATTATCTGATCTGCTACAAGTACCGAGGGATATCACCAAAAAAGAAAAGTTTATTAGACGTTAACCACTTGATTCAGGAAGCTATAGTACTGGAATGACGCTAGAGGCGCAGTATGAATTGCTCCACAAGTATATAGCCCGACATCTCTTCCTTTTTCACCAATAGCTAACCATGAAGTACTCGTTCACCGCTCTGCAATTGCCGGTGGAAGATGGCGACGACGTCCATCCCAACCGGTTTGATGCTCCCAACATCCACCACTTCTTACAATCGCTTCCCACCAACTACGACCGCCAGTGTGTGATGAAATTCATCCCCAAAACCGAGAAACGCATGCGCAGAACTCTTGCCGAAAGAATCGAATTGGAGCAAGGCTTGTTCCGGTTGGTCTTCGGCCTCTTTGACCAAGTCGTCGGCATGACTGCCGAACAAAAGTTCAAGATTTGGCAAGAGGTGGAGCAAGCGCAAGTGGCTAGTCGCTTAGTACACGATCGGGTTGCTGACGAGCTCCAGGAGAAGCAGACCATTGCCACCACCAACCAGGCGACGAAGCCTAACCAGTGGATGGACAATAAGTTGCAAGATGTCGAAGGTAAACTTGTTAAGCGGTTCCGAGACATCTTTTTGACGGCACCATTGAGCCCGATCCAACGCCAACAACTTGAGAAAGCATTGATCGAATACGAAAAGCAGCTTGTGGCTATGGAAGCAAAGACTATGAAGGAGAGCACCCAATTTATGGAGGACATCTTTCGCAACTCCAATGTGATGGTGCACTACGTCAAAATGGAATCGATCACCTTTGTGGTCAAGCGGGGACGGGGGCCTCCAAAGTATGAAACCGTCCCCTCATGCGTTTTTTAATCAAGTAAATGATGTTAATGTATGATGACCAAACTAAGAGAGACTCACCTTATAGTTATCATAAACCAGGTATCTACCATTAACGTTCTACAAAACGAAAGTTGACCCAACTGATGTCATCAAAGGCTATACTTCATTTCACTAAAGTGTTTCTCCCGAAACTTTACAATTTGTCATAATCGATATCTCTCATTACTATGCTAATTACATCTCAGCGTCCGCCCGTGCCGCGTCGGCGGGCCCGCATCCTGGCAAATTTCCGTTCGCCTGGAGGACCAGCGTTAAAATCGGTCCCCCCCATGACGGTAGCTTGGCCACCGCCAAAAGCGTCACCTCCCATTGGTTGCGGGGTTCCACCAAACCCGGGACTGGGCTGGCGACTCAGCAGATTGGAAAACACCGGGTTAGGGTTATTGCTGCCGCCAAAGTTGAACTGAGGAGTAGTGTTGGTGTTACCACCAAAGCCACCGGCGTTATTGGCACCAAATCCGGTGTTACTATTCACACCAAAGCCACCAAAGCCGTTGGAACCTTGGTTACCAAACCCAGGAGTGGTCTGGGCACCAAACTGCGGCACCAGTGCGTTGTTGCCAAAACCACCAGGGTTCGCGGCCCCACCAAGACCCCCAGAAGTGGTACCAAAATTGACACCTTTAGCGAACTTGAAGTTAGGGTTAGCCACGGGGGTCAGTTCTCTCAGTTGGAAGCCAAACCCTCCAGATTGAGGTTGAGGTTGAGGCGTCAGCGCGTTGCTACCAAACGCTGAGGTAGAACCAAACACAGGTGCCAGCGGTTGGTTCGCTTGATTAGCTTGACCAAAGGCAGGCGTAGCAGCGTTGTTGTTGGCAAAGGGAGTGGACGTGGTGGAGCCACCAAGGGCAGGAGCCGAATTACCGCCGAACGTCGGCGGCTGGACAGCGCCAAAGTTGAACAGCGGCACCGACGGTATCGCGGGAATGCCTGAGGTTGACGATGCCGGAGCAATCGCTGGCGTCTCGGCTTTGCCGAAAGTGAACGGCTGGCTGGGCTTGTTATCAGGAGTAGGCGTGGTGCCAGCAGCAGGAGCAGTGGTGGCTTTGCCGAATTGGAACCCCAGTGAGGTGGAGGCAGCGTCAGGTTTGCTGCCGAATAACAGCAGCAGAGTACCCAGAGGTGCTGGTGACGCCGTGCCGAGGGTAAACGGCTTGGTAGTAGTTTCCGCAGGCTTTTCTGTCGATGAGGCACCAAACGAAAACGCTGGCTTGCCATTAGCTCCACCAGTAGTAGTAGCCGTAGAGTTAGCCGACGTGGTGGTGTCGCCAGTGGCAGGAGGAGTACCAAAGAGGCCCGTGGTAGTGGGCTTGGTCGCTGTCAGCGCCGCGGTATCGGTCAGCGTTGCTGGTTTGCCGCCAAAACTAAACGACGGCTTGTCGGTAGAGGCAGCAGTGGATTCAGCAGGCTTCGTCCCAAACGAAAACAGGGGCTTATCTGAAGTTGCTGGCTTCGTTCCAAATGTGAACGAGGGCTTGGCGCCTGCCGCATCACCCGGCTTCGCACCACCGAAGAGAGACGAGGGCGTGTCAGCAGGCTTGTCTGCAGCAGCAGGCTTGTCAGCTTCGGCAGGTTTGGCTGCTCCAAACAACAGCGTCAGCAGAGCCGAAGTTTCAACTGGTTTACCAAACGAGAAGGACGGGGTGGGCTTGTCGGTAGCGGGCTTGTTAGCCGAACCAAACGAAAACGATGGGGTAGCGGAGTTTTCAGCCGGTTTAGCGCCACCAAAGGTGAAAGTTGTGCTTCCCGCCGGCTTATCGTCAGCTTTTGCGGCAGGTTCGTCAGCGGTCTTTTCGGCCGGCTTGGCTCCACCAAAGTTGAACGCAGGCTTAGCCGGAGCCTTGTCATCAGTCTTAGTTTGACTACCGAAGTTGAAAGCAGGCTTTTCCGGAGCTTTACCGTCAGTCTTGGTCGCTCCACCAAAGTTGAAGCTAGGCTTGTCCGAAGTTTTGCTATCGGTTTTAGGGATACCGAAATCAAATTTGGACGCTTCCACAGGTTTGGCATCAGTCTTAGGTGCACCAAAGTTGAACTTTGAAGCTTCAGAAGACTTAGTTTCCGCCGGTTTAGCGGCACCAAACAAGGAGGTGGACTTCTCAAGAGGCTTTGATGATCCGCCAAACAAAGAAGATGACGAAGGAGTAGTCAGCGATTCAGAGTCACCACCAATGCGGCGCTTGCGTTTACGACCAGAGTCATCGTCGTCTTCAGTAGTAGTGGTAGCAGCCGCAGCCAGAGGTTTACCAATCAGGAACGACGGCGTCAGTTTAGCTTCGGTGGTAGTAGTAGTAGACTCCTCCGGTTTCAGCAAAGGTAAAGCAATCTTATGCTGAGCGGTGGTAGAGTCAGTAGTGGTATTGATGGCAGTTTTAGAAGCAGAAGGGTTGCCGAATTTAAATGCCGCACTCGGGGCACTCACCGGTTTGGTAGTAGTGGCTGGCTTGGCCTCCAGTTTCTCATCTCCAGCATTCGCAGCTTCCGCTTGTTTCAGCTTTTCCAAGTAGTCAGCATCCAATGTGGGTACTTCTCGCTTGCTGAGCAATTTCGGGTCTCTTTGCGGTCCCGAAAGGAGCGATTTGCCAGTCTTTTTATCGGTAAACTTCGGCTTAGACACGCGGCCCAAATAGCCGTCCAACGGGTTGGGTCCCTTGGTCGCCAGCGGTTTCTTCTCTGGGTCGTACTTGATGCCGTAACAACCTAACGGTTTGCGTCGCTGGCGACGAGTGCCGGTCGTAGTAGAGTCAGAAGTCGGTTTAACCACATTAATAGAGCTAGGATCACCCTTAAAAGTACCATTAGCCTGATTCTGCTGGCGGCGACGAGCGAAATGGAGGGAGCGGTATAGGTTGTCGACGTCGTGCGTTTGCGTCGCCGTTTCTACCTTATTATTCTTGGTAATTTTCAGCTTCGTCTCGTTAGGGTTTTGCATGTATCTCATCATCCCCTGGTACTCGTGAACGGTGTCGATTTGCCGCTTCATCTGAAGGATCTGGTAGCGTTCCCTGGGGTCAACATTGATGAATGGAGGTCTCACTAAGTTCCCTTCGTCGTCGGCATACACCATCAGCCCGTAGTCGTCGTCTAACGACACCACTGACTCTTGATCCAGCTCCTCAACTGGCATCGCCAGCGAGTGGATAATTACCAGCGGCTGTCTCAGGTGGGCCAGAGTACCTGTTAATTGAGAAAGATCAGGAATCGGCAGCCCGTCATCGGTTTCAACATCCCCTTGAACCTCAGCCATAACACTGGCAGAGCCAAGCACGAAAGGTGGTCGCTTAAGCAAGCTTCCATAGGCAGTGGAAAGCCTCCGTTCCAAATCGTTATGCTCGTCTTCGCTGCGGGTCTTCAAATTGTAGTAGGTGGTGTACATGTCCCGTTTCATCAGCACCAGCAGTCTTGGTATTTCATCGGCCAGGGTTGGGGGCACGATTGAGAGCCGCAGCTTTTTCACCAGGATAGCGACGTCGTCAAGTGGTTCCTGGGTCACTGACAGCGCAATGGAATTGTCGGTGGCTTGGTTAAGCGGCAGATCGCTTTTGGAACCCGACGGGTTGGTGGCTCGCCTCAACCAGGTAAACACCAGCGAGAGCACGCCCAGACGGCGCTTGCGGGGCACTTCTCCCAGCAGCAACGCGCTATGAGGGTCATCCACGCTCAGACGGGGCAGTATCGACCGTTTCCGCCGCTGACTCATGGCGAGAGGGTCGGCAAATGCTATGTTTGCGGATGGGTGGGTGGTGATGGTCAACGGAGTGCGAGTCGCGATGAGAGCGCCGGGAGACGACGAGACGAGACGAGGGGAGACGACGACGGCTGAATAATGGAATTTGCGAGTGATTTGGGGCATTTTCTTGTTCTTAAAAGAGATGGAGAAATATTCTTTGGATCCAGATGTTGGTGGGCATGTGAAGGTGGACATTTTGGTGAGGGGATGAAGAATCAAATATTAGTGATCTGGCGGGAACGAACGATGGAAGTGGCAATTGGAGGTGATGATGATATTGATTTGTAGTTGTAGTGGGTAGACGTTAAGGTTTGTTGTGAAGGAATCTCAGCTGATGCATTTGCACGATTGTTGACGATCGACCAGATGAGACACGTACTAAAACATACACTGAAACAAAACGGTAAATTGAAATTTCGACATAATCTCTATATTGGTTGCAATCGGAGTATGCTTTTTGTCTCTCGATTCGTTGACAACTTTACCATAATCTCCTAAGATATCTCACCATATCGGTTGCAAAAGAGCAGCTACAGCTAAAACAAAAACAACGACTGCTTATTATTCCGGTCTCTATTACTCTAAGTTCATCGACTTCACCAATATTCCATGATATCGTTTTTTCTTGGTCATGATTGTCATTACCTTTGATCACTAAGCGAGACGCCCCCCCCACAGAATTTGCCGCTCACTCACCATCTCAAGACCGTTGTCTATATTCCACGCTATCCGAAGGCATTACCACTGATTGTTCATAGCCGATCTTTCCCTGGTTCCCCCACATTATCATCTGATTACTAATCAGTACACATACCTTCCCTTATCGCATCGCCCTTCTATATCTATGGATCAACCACCAAAGTCACTAGCGAGTGTTAAACACGTCATCCTTGTGCTTTCCGGGAAAGGCGGTGTCGGCAAATCATCCGTCACTACACAAGCCGCTTTAACTTTGGTCAATAAAGGGTACAATGTCGGCGTGTTAGACATCGATCTCACTGGACCTCTGGCTCCCAGAATGTTTGGCGTTGAAGATAAGCAAGTGCTTCAACTGACTCAAGGATGGGTCCCCGTTACCGTCCATCCAGGTAATGATACAGTGAATGGCACTAAGCGCGGTAAACTTGTGCTTATGAGTCTTGGTTTCCTCTTAGGGGACCGTGGTAACTCAGTGGTGTGGAAAGGTCCGAAAAAGACAGCAATGATCCGCCAGTTCTTCGACGATACCGTATGGGGTAATCTCGACTATTTGCTTATAGACACTCCTCCAGGGACGAGTGATGAGCACATTACCATTGCCGAAATTCTCCGTTATGCTAACCCTGACGGTGCTATCATCGTCACCACACCGCAACAAGTAGCGGTTGCCGATGTAAAGAAAGAGCTTAATTTTTGTCAAAAGGTCAACTTTAACGTGTTGGGAATTGTCGAGAACATGAGTGGGTTTATTTGTCCTCATTGCGCTGAGTGTACCAATATCTTTAGTTCTGGTGGTGGCGAACGGTTAGCAGAGGAAACTGGTCTTCCTTACTTAGGTAATGTTCCCATTGACCCCAAATTCACCGAACTTATCGAGACTCAATCCCCGCAAAACCGTCTAGTCGACCGCTACCCTCAATGCGAGCTTGCCCCCTTAATGAGCCATATTATCGACGAGGTAATTAGTCGCCAGGGACCCCTGAGACTTGAACAAACTACTCAAGCTACGCAAGCTACCGAAAACTAATATCTTGGTCATGACGTTATAATATATGATGAAAATCTGTCTACTCATCCTCTTCCTCAACCTCAGCTTCGATCTCAGCCTCCTCAGCTTCTTCTTCAGCCCGCTGGTCAGCCAAGGCCTGCTTCTGGTATTCTTCCCACTGGCGCCAGTGGTTCACCTTCTTGCGCAACTCACCCGCCAGCTGTTGCATCGGGTTGAGCTTCTTATCCCACTTCATCGCCTCATAGTTGTCGCCGTGCTTGTCAACAAGATCCTTAATGAATTCGATCTCTCTCGGAGTCATGTGCTTCACCCGCTTTCTCGCGGCGTGCTCCTGGGCCATCTTCTTGAATTCCTGAATCACCTCCAGCTCGCCGTTGCTCGAGTCAGTCTTCGGTTGCATCGTCCCGTGGACGACTTTAATAACCTTGCCTTCGTCATCACGGATGATTCGGGCTTCGCCAATAGGGATCTTAGCGGGGTCGTCGGTGTGTTCGATATCGGCAGGAGTGATCTTGGCCGCTTCTTCCGCGGCTAACCGCTCCTTTTGCTCGTACCAGGTCTCCAACTCCTTTTCTTCACCACCCTTCTTGACTCCCAACCGAGCTCGGAGCCCTAACCGCTTATAGTTCTGCGATAACGTCAACAGCTTGTCCCACCGCTCGGCGATGAGCGGGTTCAGCTTGATGGGGATATCTCGGCGCTTGTCCTTGGTGCGGCGGGTGGCCTTCTTCACCGACGAGCGGTTCATCTTTCTCTTTCTCACCGACGTCATGGCTGTGGGGGTGTGTCTGGGGAGAGGTGAGTGTTGACACTATAGGGGGAAGCCTATCTCATCGCATCGAGGGATGCGAGTCACGTGTGCGGCTGGTGGGGAGAGCCAGAGACAGAGACTCGCACGATCGCGAGCCGCACGCACCGCTTTGGGTGGGCCCATTTTACAAAAGGAATTGAAGAGATAAGTGTCTTTTATGAGAAAAGCGACGTGTATTAATCCAGCATTAATTCAGCAAATAACCTAGGGAAAGTCACAAACACCAATTGACTCAAAAAAAAGGAAATTAGGCGACACCGTCGTCGCGGCCATCAAAGGAGCCATGCTCACGCTCAGAGGTAGCACTCTCGACAATAGTCACAGAAGCAGGGGTGGCATCATTAGTGGCTTGGACTTCACCGCCATCATCACGCAAACCATAACCACCCCGACCGCGACCACGGCCGCCACGCCCTCTACCTCCACGACCACGGCCGCGACCACCGCGACCTCCACGACCACGCCCCCGACCCCGTTGGTGACGAGGAATATTGGTACGTTTAGGCTTCACCGAAAGCAGTCGCCCTAAGAACTCGTAGCCGTCAAGCTCGGCCACCGCCCGCGTGGCCAGGTCGACATCGGCAAACTCAAGGTAGGCGTAGCCACGAGGCTGGCCTGTGAACCGGTCCTGGCGAATGGTGATTCGGACCACCTCGCCCATCTCAGAGAACACCCGTTCAAGCTGAGGCGGATTGGCATTGAAATCGAGGTTGCCGATGAACACGGAGCGGGTGTCGGTTTCCAGCACCGGCGCCGCTTCGGAGGCGTCCAGAGGGGTTGCAGTGGATGAGGGATTTTGGGGAGTCTCCAGAGGTGTCGTCAGCAGCGAGTCCGCCAACTGAAGCTGTGCCATGGCGTCGGCAGCGTCGTCGACGCGTTGGTCTTCTTGTTTACTCATAGTGGTGGTAGTGTCGGTGCCGCCGCACCGGTGGAAAATTTCGGGGGAGTGTGGGGGAGGGGAACAGCCACGCCACTTCGAAGGTACTAAATTTAGGGTCACAACACAAATTATAATTTTAATTAGATGCCGTTTGATAGTTAACTTGTATTAACACTACTCTGGCACATTTGATCAGTATCATCCTCGTTGGAGTCGTTTGATAAGATATAATTTAGCTGTAATCTCCTTGTTCGAATTTATTAAAGGATTGCTCACTCGGACTCAATGACTGTCCGATGCGACAAACTATAACCATATACGAGTTTATGTTGGGTTTGATAGTTTTTGGATACTGGTGGCGGTGAAGAAAATTCGTTACAATTTCGTCCTGGGTATGCTTATTATTGGATATACGGGGGTGCCGGTTATATATGGTTGTGGTGATGGTAGTGTTTCCGGCTTAGGCGTAAGCGCGGTAGGTGGTGAAGCCAGCTTCGGAAGCCACAAGGTCGTAGGCGGTGTTGGGCCCGATGAAGTACACGTACCCTTGGGCGAACGGGTACTCTTGGCCGTCGGCCTTAAGAGTACCGGCTCCGTTGGTGGCGATGATGATCGAGGGCCCGTCAAAGGCGTCAAAGTGTTCCTTGTCACCTTGCTTATCAAGCACCGTTTGCAACACGGCGAACTCGTCAATGGGAGGGTTGAACACCACACACTTCAGCGCTTGGCCCGACGCCTTGTCGCAGGGAGTGGTGGGCATCTTTTGCTTTTCGATGGGGTCGTAGGAGTAGGTCAACATGTCGACCAAGTTGTCAACGTCCTTGAACTTGGGAGTGAAACCGGCCCGCACCACGTTGTCCAGCGCAGCCATACATTCGATAATGTCCCCCAGAATGTAAGCGTGAGGGTCCTTAGCCTTCAAGAACATCGCTTCACCAGCCTTAAGTTCACAGTGGTTCAACATAAGACAGCCGCAGAACAAGCCCACGTCTTCGGGGAACTGCTTATTGAGACGGACAATGAGTTCGGCCAAACGAGAGTCAATGGCGTTCAAAGCTTCAGGATTGGTTTCCGCCCGGTTGACAAGCTTCTTGGCTTGAGTTTGAATGGTGGCCTCGTCAGTGTGCATCAATTTACCGAACACCGCTTGAAGAAGCTTACGGTTGTTCTTGTCAGCTTCCAGCCCTTCGGTGGCGTTAGTGTCGATACCGTTGATGAATTGTTCAGCAATGTCGTCACCGATAATCTCTCTGAATTCAGGGATGGTCTTAAGAGTGGTGGCCAACTGGTCTAACGGCTTAAATCCACAGAACCCTTCAAAGTCGGTGAGGGCAATCGCCATCTCCGGCTTGTGGTTGTCGTCAGGGTAGTTCTTGGGGTCGTTTGCGTGCAACACTTTAGCAAGCAGCTTGTCCGGGTGAGCCTGGATCGATAACGCCTTGTTAATCAGCAACACTTTGAACAAGAACGGGAGCTCGACGTTGCCGCCAAACTTTTTGATCACGGGCTCAGTGACCAACGACGGGTCGGCCTCAATCACCTCGCGAAGCAGCTTGCCGTTATCCACCACCACTGAAGGAACCAGCGGGTGAGTACCCATCCACAACTCGGCGTAGGGCTTCAGTTCGTCGACCTTGGTATTGGGGTTCAGGCTGGCGGCGAACTTCGCCACGGCCAGCGTCAGCCCGAGCTTGCCCCAGTCGTAATTACGGTAGCCACAGTCGATACGGAACACGGTCATGGTTGGAGTTGGAGGTTCAACAAGATGAAATTTTTAGGCAGGGTTGTGTCCACGTAAATAACGCGAATTTCAGCGTGTATACAACAACGTGTACAACAACCGCGTGAGGGGGTGTCGCAGCTAACGGGCAGGGCTGTTCCAAATAAATACAGAAAAGGGGGTGTAGGATTTAGATTATAATCAAGAAGACATTATGGATTTATACTTCCGCTACCAATGAAGCTAATATGTCTTTCACCACTACTGAAAGCCGAGGGTATTCGTTCGTAAGCTGCTCTTGCTTCGGCGCGAAGTGCAGGGAGGGGTTTTTCCGATGCAGGGTGCTCCGAAATGAGCCCACCCAACGTGGTGGCCGCGTCGAAGCATCTTCAGGCCTAAGCCTCCTAATTAAATTGCGTCCAGTTGTCAGCGATGATCCAATACTGATCTTGCTCTGTTCACGGGTTTCAATTCACCTGAGTTCGATATGGTTTTAGGCCTCACTACGCTGATAATTGTCTTCAGAGATCACTTTATTATATGTGAATACTTCCTTCAACCTTTTTATTTTATCATCTAGTTTTTATCATCGTATTCTATAATGTTAATCACTGTATCAATCGCGTCGTTAAACATCATAGCAGCAATCACGTCTCATGGTGATCGCGTTTACTGTGATTCTCAACCATGCTGCTGGAGTTTCTTGAGACCGCCAATGGTGCTCGTATCCTGAAACTGGCTACCATCCATGGCTTCAAGTTTGTGGCAATATCCGCAGGCTCCACCATCAATCATGGAGCCGTGCTTCATGGCGAACCAACCGGTGCTGACAACAAAATCGCTCGCACCATTGATATTGGCAAAGCAGTGTTTATTGACAGTAAAGCCCAGATATACCCACCTAAATTAGGGATGAAAATTGGTCTGTATACCATGGTTGGCCCGTCGCTGGTGGTGAAAAGCGCCTATGTTGGTCTGCGAGTGCTTATCGAGGCCAACTGCCAATTGGGGGTCAATCTGGTGGTCAACGAAGGGTGTATCATTCGTGACAATACAGTGATTCCTGATAAAATGGTTATCCCTTCATTTACTGAGGTTCAAGGAAAGGCAGGCGTTGACTGGCAGTGTACGCCTTTGGCCCCTGGTTATAAGAAGGCCATTGAACAGCAAGCACTCATGCGCCAACTCATCGGATAACTAACTTCCTAAAGTTTTGTTCTATTGATTATTTAAGTTGGTTCTAATCCTTCTTTTCAAAGTTGCCGAGGATCCCCATACCCGTGGTTTGGCGTCTACGACCCCGACGTACCCGCAAATAGCCGTACACGGCGACTGCCACTACACCAAACGCCGCGAAGGCGACGTAGGGAGAGTTCAGCAGACCACGAGAGGCCACCAGCAGCACTTTCACCTTTGCCGACACCTCGGGAGACACCAACAGAGGGTCAAGCAACGAGAGCAACACGTCTCTCACCCGCAACGGGTCGCTCAGCAAGGCATTGCCGTCGCCGTCAGTGTTCCATACCTGTTTTTGGTTGCGCAGCACCACTAAGGTGTCGCCCACTTTATAATTGGTTAAGTCAAATTTGAGCTTTTTGCTTAAGTTATCGAGCTTGTTGACGTCGACGTAGGCAAAAACGGCTTCGTCACGGTCGAAGTAATGGGGTACTTCTTCCATCATCGCCTTGACAACAGCGCCGTGATCAGCGCCCTGGTCAATGAGCTTATCCACCTTATCGTGCTTCTTAGCCCGTTGCAGTTCGACTTCGCCGAACCAGTACTGCTGACGGTTGAGGTGGTATTCGTGAGCGGCAGCCAGCATGTTGTACAACGCCTTGGACATGTGGTCGTGGTCGTTAAGATCAACCACGGTAAGCACCACCTTAGAGTTGGTGTCGTCACTGCGGTTGAAGTAAGTACGACGATTATCGTTGGTAAGTTCATCGTGGAGCGGGAATTGGTGCTGTTGGATCCACTGGCCGACCTTGACTGGGTCGCGCACGTCTTCAGGAGCAAACGCTGGGAACACATCAAACATCAACGAGTCGTCCTTGAAGATGAGGAACGTCGGTTTGGAGGTGAAGGTGCTGGCGACGTGCAACGCTCTGTCGTACTTGTATTTGCGGTCCTGACCGGGAATGGCATTGATAAACTTGGGGAGCGCGTCCAGTTGTTGCACCATCGCTGTCTCAAGCTTGATGTGCTTGGATTTGTACAAATACACGTTGAACGGCAGCTTCATCACCGCTTCAAGGGCGTAGGACATAATGGTTTCATCTTCAGGCAGTTGTTTGTCGCCGTCGAAGTAGTAAATCACCGATACTTGGTTCTTCAAGGGCGGCAGGTACGGTACTGGCCCGGGAGGAAGTTCAAACTCGTGTCTCATGACGTCGGGAAGTCCACCGTAAGTAATCTTTTCGTAACGAGACAGTTCCCATAATCTCATCGCCCAATCTTTCAACAGTTTCAGTCCCAAGTGACCCTTGTAGTCCCAACGGACTTTGCCCACTTGCTTCGGCAAAAATACCACGATCTCGGGGTTTTCGTAACGACCCTCAAATTTAAGGTCAAGCAGGTCGCAAAGCTCCTTGTGGTCGTCGCACATCACGTGGGCCGTTTTATAGTACAGCTGAATCTGGCCCAGCACCCGGTCCCACATCACTTTGTAGTCGTTACAGTCCATACACTTTTGGCCAAATTCTGGGTGGCCGTCCTTACCTTCCCATTGCGCTTCCAGAGCCGGCCAGAACGATACGAGCCACAGATCAGGAGGAGTGTTATCGTCGTCAGCTTTAGGGAAAGCAGGTTCACCAGCAATGATATTAGCCAACTCCTCATTACTAAGCTTTCTCAGTGCCAGGGAAATGGTAAGCGCACCGTCGTTAAATTCAGCGTACAGGTCTCTCATGAACGTCTTGATGTTTTCCGATGTCTTTTCAATCGTTCTAGGAAACTGGCCAAAGTTTCTCCCCTGTTTAGTCTCAGGATCAGGACCATAAAGACGTATCAGTGGATACCCATTGATGTCCTGCTGTACGCAGAGATCACCCTGAGACACACAGTCAACTTGTCTCATCTGAATCCCTAACCGTTCCATTTCCTCTCTAAACTCACGGTACGTCGCCTCCCATGTCGGAGCAAACGCCGTACAGTGGTGGCAATAGGGAGAGAAGAACTCCACAAGCAGCAATCGCGACGCGATGGCGGCTTCAAACGTTTCCAGAGTAAGGTATTCGGGTAAGGGTACTTCCTGACCTTCAGCGTTAGCTGCCAGCGCCACTGGAGCCGCCGCCACGTCAGCTGCCGCTGGAGGGGGTGCTGGCTCTGCTGCCACGAGCGATAGGAGCACCGCCGCTGCCACCGCCAATAGTTTCATTTGTATGTGTCGGGTGGGTTCGAAGCCTTTTGGTTTTCTTTAAATAAAACCTAAGTGGTGGTGGTGGTGTGTATATTCGTGGCCTAAGTGTCGAGAGAGGATCAGGTGTTTCGTAAAGGCCGCACCCGGGGTAGGGGGAGTGTCCGTTGCGAGCCCCGGACATGAAAAATTGCGACGGACAAACTAACAATTTCTATCATCGCCGCATTAGGCATTTAGACTGCTCAAAATCGGAGACAATCGAAAATAATGCATCACTGTAGTCGGTGGCAAAAAAAAACCACTAATTTAGAAACTTGTAAAGTCATGCTGGCTTGCGGCCTTGGTCGAGCCAGGCTTCAAACTCAGCGTCGGATTTCTCCGCAATGATATTCTTTAAGAGCTCAATCACGAGACCAGTGTGTTCGTGGCGACGGAGCATGTTTTCCTTCCGCCACTGGTCGCGCTTGACGATCTCGTGTTCGAGGCCAACGTGGTCGCCAATGCGTTTAGCTTTCTCAAGGCGATTGTCGCTGATGGCAAGCATCAGGAACCGGAGCTCATTGCCAAACTGAGCGATGCGCTGTTGGATGACTTCTGGGATCAAGTGGACAAATTCATCGACACCTGAGCACTCACGGTGCTTAATCGGGTACGGCCGAAGCCCGTCCAACTCGTAGATATGGCCGTTGATTGGAGTGTAAGCGACAAAATGGTATAAGTCGCCATCACCTTGAGGACGGCTCATTTCATCAATAATCAACGAGTTAGGCACCGAAAACGAGTTGTGTACCGTACGGATCAACTCCGAGTTGCTGATAGTGTCACCAGTCATCTCGGAATCAAACCCCGTGGTGAACATTTTGAAATCGGTGAGGTCATTGCCCAAATCAATTTCTGGCCGGTTCATCAAACAATTAAGCACCGCAATGGTGGCACAGGCATCCTGGATCGTCTGCTGAGCAAAAAAGATATTGTGGTTTTGGTAGTCAGTGTCGTAGACACCGCCAGCGGGGAGTTGGCCTTGATCGTGTTGGCGCCACTTGAACAAGAAGATCACCCCGTACACGGGAGCAAGCGCCGCCAATGACTCGGGGTCAAGCAGATAAACATCGTTGAGCTCGACGCCTTTCACTCCAAGCTTCTCCACAAGCTCGGTGAAGAGGCCGGCGTCCAGGTCGATAGTGTTCCACCCCAGCATCACAGTATGGGAGAGTGCGACGGTGTGGCGCCAGCTGCCTAATTGGGTTTTGAGAAAAGAAAAATTCCTAGGATTCGAAGTGGGGCCTTGGTAGAAATTACCTCACAAAATACAAAATTGAATAGTTTGGGGAGGTGAGTGGGATTATTCTATCGGAGGAGAAACGGTTGGTGGTGATGCCGTGTGGCTTAAGGCTAGAGCACTCGTCAATTTTGGGATTTCATTGACTCCAATTGGCTCGGGGTACGCAGACAATAACCACCGAGGTATCGACAAAATACGGGCGATGACGTTAAAAACTGTCACCATGCGCAACTCCATATCCAATCAATGTCCCTGTAAGTTTCTAACTGCATCAGGGGCGAAGGGGAGCACCGGGGAGGGCGGTTTCGCAACGTCACAAAGGCAACGAAAAGGGTTCTAGGCACTTTTTCACACAAAATTATCAGCGATCCTCGAGGACCTCCCTGTGGCAGTAATTGATTACCTTAGCTAAGATAAAATCAAAACTGCAGTCTAAGGACACCCGTAGGATCGACTAGTTCAAAGCAGACAGCCACCACCGCCGACTACGGGCTAATCCAGCATAGTGTCTTGCGGTGATCCCTCCGACATCCCAAAAAATGTCAGAGGGATATCAATTCCATCGCAAGCCTGGGCCTCACTCCCGTGCATGCCGCAAGCACTTTTTCTGCGCGTCCGCTTCAATTCGGCGGCGCCGTGCTGGCACGGAAATTGACGATGGGTTGACAGCGGAGATGGCGGGGATGTGGTAAAAGCCGTATTTATAGCGAGAGTTTCCGCCTGTTTATTCTATTCAGCGTCTCACACCCATTGGAGGTACCCACTGAGATCAAGTCCCGGTAAAATCACTCACAGATTGCAAATGTACACCGGTCGCATGTGGAAATTCGCTCAATTGTTCCAAGAATATCATTTTCGGGTTTAATCGGACTTAAGCGGGATTATGTGGGATTAACATGCACCAGACAACCACAGAAAAACAACAATGGGGATGAATGGGTACAAACTGAAGCCAATAATACCAATTATTTCACAAGGTGGCCTCGGCTATTATAGGTTAAGCAGTTTAGCTAGCTAATAAAGGTCTCCTTGACCATTGTCGATTTCTTAACTTTAAAGTATTTAGCGAACACAATCAGATGCCACTCCATACATTGTCGTATGGACTGAGAGCAACAAACCCATCGGCATGTTATCTGATCGATCGAGTACAACCAATCACGTTCAGTTATCTGATCAATCTTGCCCGGTTTAAAACCTTGTCCGAGTCGGTGATGGAAATGATAGAGGCTCAGACCACTGACAGTCTGGGCAGCAGAAATGCATAGGCACGGCGCCTGCCTTTTTTGTGGTGTGAAAAAGTTTATGTACCTCAGGTGCCGGCAATATAATTAGGGAATGTGTCGCCGGCCAATCTGATAAATCAGACAATGTATCAGTATCCGCGGGGGCTCGACCCGATCGCGGTCGACATCAAGAAGCGCGACCTTATCAGCAAGGCCTACCAGCCTGGTTCCCGCGGATTTGTTTGTTGTTTTCAGTGTTCATTTATGGGTACGCCTACGGGTTAGAAGGTACTCTTCGCAATGTGTTCCAGATCACGGCGGCGCTGGCCCTCCATAACCACTCACTTTCATCAACGATCAATGTCAGTCAGTCAGTGATTTCTGCTGCTGTCCACCCGGTATACGCTCGGCTAGCCGATACTTACGGGTGGTTCCAACTTGTAGTGTTTCTGGTGATTTTGACCTTAGTGGGCAACATCGTCACCTCGCAAGCCACCAACATCGCCTACTTCTGTGGCGGGTCGGCGGTGTACTAAGTCGGGTTGAGTGGGATGATGAACACCGCCTATCTTTTGGTTTTGGACAATTCGACGCTTCGGTGGCGGATGGCGTGTGCGCTTATCCCCGATATGGCCACCATAATCAACACCTGGGCCTCGGGGTCGATCACCCAGTCGGTCGACACCAACTGGCGGTGGGGGATCGCCATGTGGGCGTTCATTCTTCCCTGAGCCTGTGTGCCGTTGGGGTTGTGTTTGCTCCACATGGAGTGATTGGCTTGCAGAACCGAAGAGTGGAAGGAATTGCAAGCTCAATACAACGAGGCCAAGGCTCAAATCAACGCCGGCAAGAACAGACGGCAGATCGCCTGGCAGTACCTCAAGGATATCTTTGTTCGTCTCAACGTCGTTGGCCTGATCTTAGTGATGGCGATGTTTGGTCATATTCTCGTGTCGTTCACCCTTGCTGGTGGCACCAAGCTGCAGTGGGGTAAGGCCAAGATCCTATGTCCGTTGATCATTGGGTTTGCCTTGATTCCTCCCGTGATCTTGTACAAAGTCAAGTTCGCCAAAAATCCTCTCGTGCCGGTGAGAGCGTTAAAGGTCAAGAGTATCAGGGCCGGGATGACCATTACCACGTTGCAGATGGTGGTGTGGTGGATGCCCGCTGACTATATGTACACGTTGCTTATTGTCGGTGTCAATCAATCGATTGCTCTGGCAACGAGAAGAACTTCTCTCGGGGAGTTTGTCTATACCATCACAGGTACGATCGTGGGGTTCTTTGTCGCCAAGTTCCGCCACACCCAGCCGTTGATTATTGCCGGGGTGCTGATCTGTTTCGTCGCCGTGGGGATGCTTGTTCACTTCTGTACCGGTCTTTCGGCGTACGGAGGGTAAATTGCCGCCGAGGTGTTGTGGGGGTTGGGGGTTGGTCTCTACCAGTACTCGACGCTTACCGTGATGCAGCTGTACGTAAAGAAGGAAGACATGGCGGCGGTGACGGCGTTCTACCTCCTGATATACTATTTCGGTCTCGGGGTGCGGTCGTCGATCTCAGGGGCGGTGAGGACCCAGGTGATGGACCGTGAGCTTATCAAACACATGGACGACCCTAAGGAAGCGTTGCAGGCGTACCCGTTGCCGTTCAACTACATCAAAACCCAGCCGTGGGGCGACCCGATGCGGCAGAAGATGGTCGACGCCTACGACCACGTCCAGTGGGTGCTCTGTGTCGTCGGTGTGTGCTTGATGGCGCCGATGTTCATCGCTGCCCTCGTGATCAAGGACCGTTATCTTCTCAGCAAGGGCGGGTACGAAGATGATGACAGCATTGAGGATGAGAAGCACAAGCTCGGGCGGCCGAGTATCCTCGACAAACTTCCTTTCGTCAAGCGGAAGGAGAAGGAGACTCCGGCTCACTTCAATGAGCCCATTTCCGACCTGTCGCTCGACCACCATTTGGACGAGGACGTGTCGCTAGAGAAATAAGTGTAATAGAGATAGGTAAACGTTATGAGAGACACAGTTTTTGTGGCCTGCAACCTTCCTCTCGGGTGAATGTAGCTCTTTCCTTTCTTAGATCATTGGCAGTATATTTGTGCTTCGAGAAAATCATTGTGTCTATTGTGGCAGCCGATCACAAACCTATTGGTTGTCAAGTGGGATTTTTGTTTGGAGAACCGATAGACGTCATTGGGTCAAAACAACAGTATAGCGAGAAATCTCTCTCATCGTAAACTAGAGCATAAAAATGCAAGCGGCTTTGAAGCGACTCAAACTTGGAAATGCTTGACAAGTATACAGCTAGCGTTATCAAAGAAACCCGGCCGGAATTTGAGTGATGAAAAAACTAGAAGTTGTTGTCAAGAATACCCGGAAGCTTTGAAGAGACTGATCGGCTTACAGCGCTATTGATTGTTTTGTTTCATTGCCGTGTTCTGCTTGATTGTTTCCGACCGGGTAAAACAGCGCGGTGAGGGGTTTTCTCACACTTTCAGACCAAGGCTATTAACTCCGCAAAAAATGCGATGGTGTGGAGTCACCAATAGAACACAACCTCATCAAATATCATCGTTCCAGGATCAAGGGTGTATTGGGGATGGCCTCGAAGGTAGCCATTGTAGCAACGCTAGCTCTCTTAGACATACCCGATTAAGGTGCGCGCGCCGGTTCCTCGGCAATGCTCTATCCAGCATAGGGTAGCGGCACCCGAGCACACGACACAGCCAGTGCTCAGCGCGGCTGTTAGGGCGATGAGACTGAAACAAAGAAAACAAAACCGCTTTTGCGACCACAACTGAAACCCCCCCTTTGGTAAAAACACTATATAGTCATCGGCTACCCTTGCCTCTCCGGTAGCTGGCATCTACCGTTCTCACGCTCTGAGGCTCGCTCCCCCCTCACCTCTGCCATAAGCTATCACCGCGCACCCTGTCACTCCCCTCACGTTTTCGTTCGCCAAACACCGAGGGGAGTGGATAAGTATCACCAGCGTCCACTTGTGAGCCCGACGTCCACGCCAACATGCTGCATCCGTCGTCTGCCCACGACGACGACCTGGCCCCGGACTTCACCGACGTTGTCCACGGCGAGGAGCTCCACGTGCAGAAGCTGGAGCGGCCGACGTTCGAGATCGACCCCTCCCATAAGCTCGAAGTGCTCGGCAAATGGAGCCCGCCGGCGGTGTTGAGCAAGTGCCTGCCGTCGCAGCTTGTCACTCTTTCCGGCGCGGCGCTGGGTTTCTTGCTGGGAGTGGTGGTATGCCCTTTCGACGTGGTGAAGACCCGGGCCCAGGCCACCGGCGACTCCACCAACCAATTTTTCAAGATTTTCAAACATATATACCATACCGAGGGCATTCGTGGCTTCTACCGTGGGCTTGTGCCCATCACCATTGGCTATTTACCGACGTGGACCATCTACTTCACTGTGTACGAACGAGCTAAGCTCAAGTACCCCAAGTGGCTCCAGAACCACCTCGGCATCACCACCCCGCTGGTATCACACGTGCTTTCGGCGGTGACGGCAGGGATGGCACTGCTGATCGCCGTCAACCCTATTTGGGTGGTGAAAACCCGGCTCATGCTTCAGACGGGTAAAGGGCTGCTGGTAGTTGGGGGTAAGCGCACCTACTATCACGGCACCCTCGATGCCTTCATCAAGATGTATAAACAAGAAGGGATCAAAGTGTTCTATCTGGGTTTAGTGCCGCTGCTCTTTGGTCTTGTCCACGTTGGTATCCACTTCCCCGTGTACGAGAAGTTGAAGCAGATGCTCTTGTGCAACAGCAACGTGCACGACCTGAGCTACCTCCCCCGGCTTATCCTCGCGCTGCTGGTGCTGAAGATGTTGGCGCTGACGGTGACCTACCCCCACGAAATCTTACGAACACGGATGCAAATGCAACCACTGGGGAAGAAAGTGGGCATGCTCGACACCATCAAGCAGATCGCCCGCACCGACGGCCTCCGCGGCTTCTACGCCGGCTACACCATCAACTTAATCCGGACGGTGCCGGCGCTGGCGGTGACGCTCGTGTCGTTCGAGTACTTTAAGACCTATCTCTTAGAAATCAGCGGCCACCTCAAACCCGCCTAAAGGGGGTGGTTAGGGACACGAACATCGGGGTTATTTATTGGGTTATAGACGTTGCCTGGCAACACAATACATACATTCACGTAGCCGCGGCGCCAATTCGCCGCCATTGCAGGCTTCGGTCGCCTCAAGGCTCTTCCGTGCGTGTCCGCCGAAGACCATCGGCGTTTAGTCGACATATGTACTCCCTCCGATAGCCGCCACCCGCTGCACCCGCGGAAATAGACGGATACGCGACGACATCGGAGTCCCGCTAACAAAAGCCACCATCATTGGTAGTCGTTGTCGTTGATGTTTCTTTACTTTTACGACACCGACAAACCCGAATGGCAGCAAGTTGATCTCATCGCGTCGGGTGCTGGGAGCACGGGGCTGCGATTTGGCGGGGCTGCGTCTGTGGGCCTGGGAGCCCATCGCGATCCACCCGATGACAGCATTACTAAGGACCAGGGGCAGTTTGTCCCACTTGCAGCGTCTGTAAATTTACGTGTATACGAAGTCTGCACTTGAAGGGTTGACAGGACCGCTTTACGTCACCTACTGGAGTAATTTTTCTCTTCCTCGGTGGTAGACTCACGTGGTTGACGTGGTTGACGTAATGTACACGCCGTGCCTCGTCGGCACTTGCGAGTACTGATACGTCGCGTGGGCAGCTCGGACATAGCAGGTGGACCGCGGCTGGCGTCAGGGGACGGCGGAACTCCTCCCGGTGGTGAGCGGTGTTATGCTAGGTTATGCTAGGTTATGCCATTGTGGTTTGACGTACTTTTAATAATGTAACCGTCCGTTCAGTGGGGGAAGCCGGACCCCCACACGGCGACACAAACGGCCGAAGCAAAAGAACAACCAACACCTCTGAGATCCAACGCACCGAACACCCATGGTGTCAACTGCTGGCACGATTCGGAAATGTGTCAAAGATGACACAATCGGTGTCATTGCCATCGCAAGACATTTTACTAACCATGTGTCAACGCAGGCCCCAATATCCGGGGCAAGCCATCCCCCGATGTCGACAGGTGGCGGTGTCTGCATTTTTCCAGGCCTAGGGCGAAACCCACGACGAAACCACCCGACTGTCGCAGACACCGGCACGCCGCGGGTGGGTCATCGCAGCGTCTCATTCGCGGCTTTGCAAAGTTCCTTTTCCGCGGGTTTGATTTGTGGCATGTCTCGCGGGGCCACTGGGGTCATGTTGACAGCGATGTCGCCCTTGGGGGCGCTGGCGGTGGGAAAATGTCGCTTGCCGTCAGCCGTAGCGAAGCGTCGGTCGCATTTGCGTAGACCCTGCGAAGTGGCAAATCTCGATCTAGGAATGTCGGATCTAGCGAGGCTTGAAGGTGTCGTCACCGCAATGACAGCGATCATCCGTAAGCCACGGGAGGATCACTGGGGTAGCGACAGTAGCCAGGGGCGGGCTAGTGATGGTCGCGAGATAATATATCACCGTTTACCATCAAAGGGCGCCTAAACCACACGAAGTACAGCCGACGTGTGTCGCCAGCCAGGGTTTACGAGGGCTGCTGACGAGCCAAGACTTTTATCTTCCTATCTCAGGCTCGCGAGCGTGCCTCGAGCATGAGCTCTTATCGGGGGCCAAGAT